ATTGAGGTAGTCTTTTATACACATAACTTTTGTTAATATTTTGTTAATTTGAGGTAGAATGTTGTCTTTGTGTTTTTTTCTGTTTGTAAAATAAATAAATTATAATACTGTAATTTAAAAAAGAGTCAACAATTTATTGTCATTTATTTTGATGTGTTTTCAAATTGCAGGCAGTTTACAGAAACAAATTACATAAAACATAAGTATATAAAGGAAAATATTATTAGGGAAAAGGTACTCAAAATGTGCCGGATAGGAGGCTGAATACACTTGTATATGCATATCAGCGTCCGTTTCACCTTAAATTTCAGAAAGTTTGTAACACAGATTTTTTAAATGAGGTATACATTACTCAAATAAGTTACCTGACATTCAGAAATTACTTTTTAAGGAATTCATATTTTTTTTAAATATCTCTAAAATAATGTAAGTGTAATATTACAAATTAAGGTTATTTGAAACCTTATGACTTAATTTTGTAAAAATTATTTTTTGTTTGAAGTCACGGAAATGTTTATAAATTATAATTAAACAATATTTAAATAGATTAAAAAATATGAAATCGTAAAAGAAAAAATTTGCAATTTATCATCTAATAGAAGAAGGTTCAGAAAATATTTTGAATTATTGAAAGTAGAAAAACACATTCATTTAAACTAAAAACAAAATTAAAGCAAACTGTTAATAAATATGAAACAGATTATAAAAAGAAGAAGACCACTTCAATGGAAGTGTGTAACAAATAATATAAAATATTCACACCCACCTTCTAACAAACGAACAACAAACAGAATGCACGACAAACAGACAGACAGACAGACAGACAGACAATCAGTTGTCAATAGCAAAGAGAAAATATTAGAAAAAATTTTCAGAACACATGAAAAAGCACAACATGACGTATACGCAACTTATTTTATGTGCCACTAGGCATAAATGTCTCTTCATGGTTTATATGTAAAAAATTTGAAATGTTCATACAAAAATTTACACAAACAAAGAAGCACAATAAAAAAATCAATACAAACTTACTGTTTAACCAAACAGTTTATATGATCATTTTGTTGTTTGTGTAAGAAGCTTTTCTTTCTTTTTTATTTCTTTTTTGTTTTTAGTTTTTTATGTAGGGCACCAGCAGTAGGCAGTTGGCATTTGGAAATTGTTGTTGTATATGTGTAAACACATTTTTGCTTAAGGACGACAAAATACACACATACAATGAATTGTGTTTGAAAACGTTACGCAAAATAATGAGAGAATATGGATATGAACTCAACTAACTAAACATAACATACTTCTGTTAAGTTAAAGAAAGAAAAAATTACATTTGTTTAGGTTAACAGAGTCCTGTTTGTAATACTTATTAATTTTTCAAGTTAACAGATGAGATACACATAACAGCTGACTTTAACAGCTGTGTTATTTGTTTTTATTTAATAAGCAACATTTTTGTGTTGGTAAAAGTAGTCTCTGTGATGAATAAATGCATGTTTGACATTAATGGACGTAAATATATTATGTGCTTCCTTCAGTTTTTTTTAATAAAGCAGTAAAAAGTTACGTACATTAATTTTTGTACATTATTTTACGTCGTTGTGGCATGCAATAGAATTCCATATAGGAAATATATAACAATGAATAATTAAGATGATTGAGAAATACTTTGAACTTAAGAAGTAGAGACTTCTTCAATTGTTTAAAAACTAGTGAACAACTAAACAATGAAATTATTTAAAATAGTCATACAATATTAATGAATAAATTATACGACTACTGAGAGTATTGGTTTTCATACTGTTTTCACATGAAAAGCCTAAATAAGGGTAGCTGAGATAGTTTTGAAACGTAATTTGAAACATCACTAAATTATACTTTTAATAGAACCCTCAACGACATCGTACAACTGGCCGTCCTCACACTACATGCACTGTTGCAATATACTCAGGAAGAACTTAGATAGTGATACTGACCAATGGTGATTATAATAAGGGCAGCTAAATTCTTTATCTAAAAAAGTAGTAATGAAATAAATAATAAACTTAGAATTCAGATTTAAATAAATGTGGTTGAATTAGAAGAAGAACTAACATTAAAATAAAAAAATAAATTTTTTTTAAATTAAATTTTAAAACACAAAACATGACAAAACAGAACATATGTAATAATATATATTTTAACAATATGAAATAATTTAAAATAAAAAAATGATCTAATTAAATATCCTTTATATAGTATCAATATATATTTATGTAATATGATAATCGTCGGTAATAGAAACATTGATCATCAAAAATAATATGAAGAAAATGCACATATGCATTTAAATTTGGTTTAACTTTGGACACTAAAATTTATTAATTATAATAAATTTCGATTTTTGTGAGTTAGGTAATGTGTTTTAAGATTTAGTTTTATTATTTAGTTTGAATAATATTATTTTGTAATTACAATATAACCCAAATGTAACATAAAAGGGTATTAAAATAAAAAAAAAATTAATTTCAAATCAAAATAAAACTACAGAATGCCCTATTTTTTGTATTTATATATATTTTCATTTATTTTTATTTTTTTCATACCTTTAAAGTATTTCAAATATTTTATCGCATAATTTTTTAAAACTATTTACTACTGCTTAAAACTTAACTTCATAACTAGAATTATAAAAAAACCATTAAATAAAACAAAATCAAAACATTAATACAAAATAAATTTTTATAAAAAATATTACACAAATCAAAAAAAAAATTAAGACAAAAAAACAAATTAAATGAAAAACATAATTAATTAATCTCAACACAAAATTTATTTGGAATACATTTCCATATATTGTAGTCTTAAATGCATATATAATATTTAAACTATATATGCATTCGTATTTTACTTAAAGCTTCAGTTTTGTTCACAAATTTTTTTCTATTGATTTTAATGTCATACGAACGGCAAAAAAAACAAAAAAAAAGAAAATATCTCCAAAGTTTTTTATAAAACTTTTTGCTTAAATATGAGTTGGGTTTTTTATACTACGTACTAATATTTTATTTATTTTATTATTTTATATATATATATAAGAGTTTTATATCCATTTTTGCTAGCTTATATAAAAAATTTTTGTACCATCAGCGCTCGAATTTTTGTAATTTTTTGTTTTTAAATAATATAATAATTTTATTCAAATGTCTCAAATTGAATTTTATTAGAATTTACATTGCTTTTCAATTTTTACTGAATTTCAACATTAAAAATGAATTTCAAAACCAAACAAACTATTAATTAAACAAAAAATCAGTCCAATTCGAAACACAAATAAGGATTCGGTTTGGTATTAGCTATCAATAGGATTATTACATTGTGTATCTAAGTGTTCAGTTCGCTTCCCAGGAAGTAACACATGGCGCGTAAGACTAGATCCATGGTTTGACCGCTTACTTGCAGCTGCGCAATAGTCTTTATGCTATAGTTTCCTTTGCCGTTTCCTGCCCTCTTCTTATGCCTAAAATATATTTTATATCCCTTTTGCTTATGCTTACTGCATACATTAAAACAGTCATTTTAACTAATTTTAACTAGTTAAATATTTGCTTGCTTTTAAAACAAATTTAACAACTATATTCAGCAATTAACTATTGCTTTTTGCTTTTTGCATTTCGCTATTCTTTTTATTTTACCTTACTCCATCATACAACTACAATTCATTTGTCTTTCAATTTAGATTTCTTTGTTTTTGTTTTTGTTTTTGCTTTTTATGTTTGTTTATGTTTTTGTATGTACATATTAATTTAACAAAATTAAAATAAAAGGAAAATTCTATCACAGTAAAAAATAAAGTCACCATATTTGTTCAATCCACACAAAAAGTTTATAATCTTTTTCAATATTTTTTTAATTATTATCGATAAATTAACTTAAATTAAAAACAATATTGCAAAACCGCATGCGCAAACACCAATCGATGCATTTCTAGGAGGGAGATTTAGTTGCCGGTTAGGTTAACAGAATCTTTACCTCGAAATACCGATCAATTGCGTGATCTTTCTTAAGTGTTTTCAAATTCATTTAATTAGTTAACTGTTTATTATCTGTATTAAGCTTATAACTCTATTTAATAATTAACAATTCTTATTTAAAACTGAAACAAATATAACAACAAAAACAATGAAAAACATATTAAAAAAAATAAAAAAATTTTAAAATAAAAATCATGTAAAGATCTACTTTAAGTCTAATTACTACTATACAGGGTCATTAAAATTACACAAATGTGTGCTTTTGAGTTTAAGATTTAACCTAACCTACAACGCTATGTATTTAATTATTACTTTGCTTACGTTCGCTAATAAGTATAATTATAATATAAGTAATTTTTAAAGTAACCAAATTAGATAATAAATAAAATCGATCCATTTACAAAATGTAAAAGTGTTTCTTTACAGATTACACCTTATAGATAATAGATTATAAATTATATATTACAGACTACTATATTTTACGTTTTATGCTTTCGTGCTCACTGTGAGCACCCCAAAAAATTGCAAAACTTTCTCAATAACAACAAAGTAATTGATTTGTTTGATTGCAATTATTATAATTAATTTTAAATTAAATTTGCGAATATCGCTAGTCATTTAACCAATCATAGCCCAAACCAAACATTTTTTTGGCCATTATTATTAATAAAACATGAGTGAGGGGAGAACATCGTGTGGGGTCGCGGGCGATTAATTGAATTCAAAAATTTACAAAGTTGATTTTTGTACATTTAATAGTAATGAGAGGCGGGTTTCAAATGTTAGAGCTAAAAACTCAGCGTTAATATGCACAGCACTTTTGATCTATATTTTTTTTTCGTTATTGCTGTGGGCTCAGTGCACATCAACGCTGTTCAGGAAATGCTGCACATTTGCGTTGCACTTCCTGAATAAACATGATTATGCCTTTGCGAGCCTTTTGGGTCGCATTGACACTATACTATAGCCAGCGACTACATCGCACCCACTAACCAATAGATTCTTCAGTACAGAATTCGATTGTTGCTGTTGGACTATGGCAGTTGTCGTAGGCTTCGAATCACCTACATTGCCGGACCAACGTTGTGTAGCATTTTTGCTACGTTGTGTTTGTTGTTGCTGCTGTTGCTGCTTTTGTTGCTCCTTTATTGTAACCGTGTGCTGTGTTGGTGTCATTAATTGCTGCAGCAGCTGTGGTGTTGCCTGCAAATCAATTATTGTTGTATTTGCACTATTAGCATTACCGCTTCTCAAACGTTTAGTTTCTATTTGAGCTGTAGCTATTGCACTTGTTAAATGCCGCTTATTGCCATGCTGCTGTGGCTGCTGCTGCTGCTGTTGTTGTTGTTGTGGTAATTGCGGTGTGATCGTTTGTATTATTGTAGTTTTGTTCGCAGCCTGTGCTCTTTGCAGTTGCTGTTGCAATTGCTGAGCATGTTGCTGCAGTTTATTATCCACAACACGTATTGTTGCTGTTGTTGTCATTGGTCTTCTTGGTGCACTATTCAAAAGTGTTATTGTTGATATTTTACTACTACTCCGATTGATTGCCAATAACTCATCATTAATTAACATTTTATCAGTGCTGCTAGTATTGTTACTGTTACCACCAACAGCAGTTAATTCATTTATAATGCTATCGTTTTGTTGTTGCTGTTGCTGCTGCTGCTGTTGTTGTAGTTGTTGCAGAAATATATTTTTATTACTTTGGATTGTTATCAATGGCACTGTATTTAGTATAATATTTTGTTGTTGCTGGTGCAAGAGTGGTTTGCAATCTTGCGTATTTAAAACATTTTCTAAGTGTTGATGTTGCACAGGCGAACATGTGGCTGATGATGCATTTGACGTCGGATCATTAACGTTGATTTGTAGCAATTCATTCCAACAATCAAGATTTGTAGCTGACGATTAAAAGTACAATATTAAAAAAAAATTATATGTGTAATCAAAAAGTTAATCAGATTAAAATGTTAATGCTGCTTAAAGAACTTAATGAAATAATAGTTCATTAAAAAATAATTAAAACAGCTTCAAGATTTTCCAATCGACTTAATAAAAAAAATGTCAATTTTAAAATGAGAAAATTCGTATTTCTTTTTTTTATGTAAACTTTATATTCATACATAATATCATACATAATGCTTCATGAGGTAATTATGGTTTTTCTGTAAAAAAACAAATATATTCCTTTATCACTTTAGTTAATCCCACTTAATTTAATAAAATTACTTAAGAAAAAAACAGAAAAGTTGCCAAAATTCTTTCTGTTAATGTCATTAAAATTAGCATAAATTTTATTTTGCCCCTGACATTGACTGAGAAAATATTTAGCAGAAGTATTTTATATAGAGGAACGATATAATTTACTAAATTATCTTAATATATACACCAATATTTTGTCTATATATATAAATATTCTATATACATACACATCCAACAAATTTCGAAGAAATATGTTCAATGATTCTTTTTTATATATATTATTAATGATCTGTTCGGTGTGACAACATACATTTAACATATTTATCACTATTATTTTTATTTTTTATTTATTTATTTCTAGTTTTTATTTTAAAGTCTGTATAGAACAAATATTATAATATTCTGAAATATTATATATTATAATATGTGAAGAGAAATTTTGATTTTATAAAAATTGTTCTTTTACATATTTCATAAAGAAAAACATAAGTAATAAAGTTAACAAATTTAAATTTTAATTTAAATTTAAAAATAGTTAAGTCATTAATAATTAAAAGAATCATATACATATCAACAAATTCAATATACATACTTACTATACGTTGACTCAGTTATATTATAATATACATAGAATTGTAGCATCTGTACAGGTTTTAATGTAAGATACTGTATAAATTCTTATAAGTAGTTCATCATGAGACATTATGATCCGATATAAAATAATATAACTAGAGTAAAAATTACTTTAATACTTATAAATAAGTATAATAAAATCACTAAAGGTTCTGTTTACTCTGGCTTATTATAATATGGAATGCAAGTGTATCTATATCCGACATCACATTTTCATAAATACTTGTCAATAATTTAAGATACATAATATTAAACATTATCAAATACATAATCGAAATAGGTTCAATAGAAACAAGAACTTTCTTTAGAATATTTGCATAATTTAGGGTCATTTTCAAGGTATTAATTCAAAGAATAGATGTTACACTAATCCAAACGAAGGATTCAATCATCTATACTACACACCACTTGTGGCGATTATCAGGAGTAGTAATAGTTTATTAAATTCAAAGTATACATTATCAAAAAATAACGAAAGATGGTCAAGATATAAGTTATACTTATATTTTAGGTTAGTGTTCTTGGTCATCAGTATATAGAATTTATTTCAAAAAATTTATTTGTAATATATACAATAAAACTATATATATTTTTAAAATTCTCATATTTTTAAACATTGTTTTTACTAAAATATGTGTTAATAATCTATTTGTTTTAGTTATTAATTTTGGTCATCACAAATCCTGATTAATTATTTATTATTTCATATTTTTTAAAGATTTTAAAAATATACAAAGTTTTTTAAATATAAATTCAAAATATTTATTTTTCTTTCTTTCTATTTTTTTACTTGAATTTGGAGACTGCAACACGCTTCTGTCAACTTAAAAAGTAATCTAAACTGTCAATTTCACGTGCCACACAAGGCACAAAGGCACAAGTATACATTGCCAAACATGTCAATTTTCCATTGGGGAAAAAATTCGTTCTACCAATACTAAGTTCATCAAATTCAACGCCTCCCATGGTTAAAAGTCACGAGGTTTCAATTTCATAACAAGCAGACACCGTCCCGCCCCATTCACATGCAAGGTATGTGCTTAAAGCATAATTAATTCAAGTTGAATACGAAAAAAATTAAATTGTAATTAAGTTTAATTATTTATTATAATTTTTTTTTTCTAGTTTTATTCTCGTTAAAAACATATTTGAAAAAATATATAAAAATACAAGGGTAAAAGTGTTTCGGGGACGAAAATATATTGTCAAACGGAATTCTCTACCTGCCCCCACTATGATTAGCTTTCAAATGTATATCAATCTGGAGGCAAGCATAGCACGAAAAATATAATAAATGATCGTTTTGGTTGAAAATATTTTAGAAAAAATGTATTCTGTTGAATATTTTATTTTTTATTTTTAGAAAAAAAAAAAAATCGAAAAATATTAAGAATACAAATATATTAAAAAATGAGGCCTATTTGGTGACAAATATTTCAAACATAACTGCACAACACTCTGCTTGTATTTATCTACACAGATTGTGGAATATGTATTAGTCTATATTACAATATTTTATTAGCTGGAGATAATGTTCGAACGTTGAAATGTGTGAAGTGATATTTAAAGCGACTAATTGCGGCACACTGAGAACTTAAAATATTTCCAATTGACAGTAGAAGGTTAAAAAATTCTTGAACTGATGTTAAATTAATAATTTTTGTAATATATTCTTAGTATTAGGAATGATTTGAATTCTTTTAATAAAAAAGATTTAAACAATTACTAAATTAATACTAAAATAGAAATATAATTGACTGAAGTAATTAAGTCATAAATCGAATTCATATCAATTATAAAGTAAATCCCTTCACTTTACTCACGCATGCAATCAGTGCTAAACTTAGAAAACTTAAAAGAATATAAAAAAAATTTTTTAAGAAAACCTGAAAAAACATTTTAAATAAAACTAAAACTAAAACTGTTAAGATAGATATATGTAACTACTTCTCAAAGTCCCTGAAAGTAATAAAAAAAAATTAATTTGAATTTAAAAATTAAGCATCTATGTTAATAAAAAAAAAGTTTTTACAATTTATGGGTTTAGTTTATAAATTGATGTCCTCAATTAATATTTAAACAAAAAAGAATATGTTATAATCTATGAGAACTCTTGGAATGAAAGAAGTTAAATTTTTTTTAGATTAAACAAACCTACTTAGAACTGATTATAAATGTATATTAGTAAGCTTACCTAAATTAATTAAATCATTTAAATAATAATATTTAAACAAACTTTTTTAATAAAAATGGAAAATTAAAAATAAACATTAAACTTATTACTTATAAGTTTAATAATACATTGAGACTTATTATAATACATTGAAATATCACTGTTTTTTTTGAAGTATTTCAGCTGGTCATTTCAATTTATTATAATAAATGAACATATATTTTTTCTTAACCATATTCTAATTATAGTAACTAATTAATTAATAACTATGACTACTGTTTTGTAACACTGTATATAAAACAATTATTTTTTAAATAAAATAATAAAATTTTAATAATATTATATTATAATTAATAATTAATGTTATAAATAATTTTAATTTATGACTGTTTTTATACGAATTTTCTCAAATTATCTCTGACATTTTTCAAGTTTCACAATCAAAGTGTGATACTTACAATCTTTGCTATAAATATTTTCAAATGCATCCACTATAGAATCAGATAAACTGGGCGCTAGAGTATTTTCATATTTTTCCTTTTTACAATCAATACTCAAACCAAGCAACTGTTGTCGTTGTTCCTGTAATAATTCTTGTTGTATATCGTGTAGTCTAAAATTATCGCTGACATTTCCATTGATCGTTGTTAATGCTTGTGGTTGTGTTTGCGTTGGTGATATTGTTAGACGAGTATTATTCATTGCACCACCACCACCACCACCACTACTGCCAATATTACAACTCATATTAGTACCATCATTATCGTCAGTACTACCACAATTATTGCTTAATATAGATAGAGTGCCATTACCCGAACCACATAACAATGCCGCTAATTCACTGGAATCAGTACCAAAAACTGAAACGGCATCATGTTGCTGTTGCTGTTGTTGCTGCTGATGCTGATGCTGATGATGATTAACCGGTGACGGTGATAACGAAGATACAGTTGAAGCCGGTGATGAACAAAGGGAATTGGAAAAATGTTGTTGGGTTAGTTCATGCTGTTGGTAGCCTAAAATGTTACGATTGCTTTCACACTGCTGTTGTTGTTGTTGCATATGTAATTGCTGCATTGGATCAGTTTCTTTATATATATTGAAATCGTCTGCTGTGAATGCATTGTTACTACACCACATGAGATCATCAGTGAGTAGTGGAACATTGTCTTGTTCATCCATTGGAATATATGGCGCACGAGTAGTCAAATCAATTTCATCTTCACCGCTCATTGTCATAAATGCGAAATCATCCTCCTGGCTGAGGGAAGTTGGACTGCATAATGACGGTAAGCTATTGGCTTCGGGACTCTGAAAAGAATAAAAATAAAATAAGCATAGTATTAGAAAAGTGTTAAAATTTAAATTTTACAAGAAGAAAAAAACATATGTACACAGTTTCAAAACATTGTTTCTTCTTAAAGGCAACATTAAGATGCTTATATTAATTAAAATAGCGCAAATGAAAGTGAAAAAGTAGCTGTTTTGCTTTTAGTCTAATTAACATAAAACAATAAAATGCATTATGTGATGAAACTGTGCTCTATAAATGAATTACACAATTGTTTACATACCTTTGATGTCACACTCGGTGATAGTAAATGCTGTGAGCAATTTGTATCATTGGATTCTTCACGATAATTAATAAATGGATCAATATTCTCTGTGCCTTTATTGCTTACGTTGTTACTGTTATTGCTATTATTATTACTATTCTGTACTGTTATACTTGAGATTGTGCCAGTTGTTGTTGCTTGTGTGTTTTCCGTCGTCGAGGATGTCGTCGAGTCCAATGAATTTATATCATCTGACAGATATGAGTTTATGAAGCCATCGAGCATTTCACTTAGCAATGGAGTGGTTTCATCCAGCGGCATGCATGCATCTACATCACCCGATGTCGCCAGCTGTTGCAAATCATCAGGCTCTTCTTTAAGCACTGCAAATTAGAATAATGCAGAAAAAAAAATATGTTAGTTAAATACACAAAAAATGACTCAAAGACACAAAATGTCATAAAAGGTGTTAAAATCTCTAAGCGAAAAATGGGTGTTGGTCTGTCATAATCAAAAACAGATTTTATCTATTTTTCAACGCTTGAGTGAGAATTTATTCGATAGATTTATTAATAATTATTTACTACATATGTCAATAATTGAAAGTGTTTCTTTATATATATTGTAAAAATTGTGTATATAAGTCTAATTTGAAGTAGTAAAAAGTGAATAATTGCTTAAATTACTATATTTTGTTGCAAAGCGGCACCTTGCTTGTATTTCTTTTCAAATGTCACATATACAGATACAGCAGGCAGGCAGGCAGCCAGCTGAGGCAATTGTATCTACATACTTTTTTGACGCCAAAATATTCTACTGTTTCCTATACTAGCTAAATTTCTTTTAATTTTATTGTAGGAATAACGTCTTCGTCTCCATCTTCATCTCCGTCAATTGACTGATACCAATTGAAACTAATTGAAGTTTTCTTAAATTAGTTGATTTATTAGTTTTATATTGGTGGTATTTTCATCAAAACTTTCGCTTTTAAAATTTGATAAAAAAAAAAAAAAACAAAAAATACTGACATTGAAAATTTTAAAAGAAATCAAGTGTATATAATTTGAAAGCTGGACGGCACGGCACTAAATACTTTGTTTTAATTACTTCTATGAAACTCTTAGTACAGTGATAAGTTTCTTAGATTTTATAAACTACAATATTCATATAACATATATATGCACGAGAAGCACAAGATCAGCTCATCATCAGAAGAAAATATTATTTATATATAGAATTTATATTACTATATACTAAAATTGTTGGAAATAAAACTGCAGCTGCTGTTGGTTGACATTTTATAAGTGCACACGGACAGGCGACAGGCCAATAACCCAGCACGTGAATTTTAAACATAAAAATACATATAGAAGGCGAGTAATAAATGTTTAAGTTCCACGAACCAAACGTTTTGTACAATATTTACCTGACATCTAACATATATACATATATACATATATAAATATATAATTTGAATTTGGGTGGAAATCTAAATGTTAATTTCATTTCTTGTAGAACATGTAAAATTTATTATAAAACCCGTAAGTTAATATTATATATTTATATAAAAATTATATAAATTTTATAAATAAATAGCTCCATTGAATACACATTTTTATATATAAAATATAAGTGATCTAAAGCCAAGAATGCTTTTGCTTAATAGCAAAAGTAAAACTTTGAAAATGGTTACTTCTAATAGATATTTTTATGTATATATGAAAATTTTCTAAATATACAATATTAATTAAAAACAATGGATAAATTAATAAGAAAAAAGTGCTATCTAACTGTACTTAAAAAAAACATTTCTGTAAAAATCTGATAAACTGATAAAAAAAAAATTAATATTTTATATGTTAAAAACCTGATAATTAATATTAGTCTTAAAGGTAATACAAATTATATAGACCAATAATAAACACTAAATAAATAAATAACTTCTTAAATAAAGTGCATAACTTCTTAAATATTTTTATTAAAAGTAAAGAATTTAGTGTTTATTCTATTTTTGTTATGTTATAATGTATTATTTATTATTATTGTTATTATTAGTATGTTTTTTTCTAAAATAAAATATGTGATCTATTTCCTGATCGTTTTTCTTCTTATCAATTTCTCTATACATAACGATTAAAAACATCTGATAATAATTTTATTTACACGTCATTGAGTTTCGAATCATATGATACTGTTTATATAATTACTAGAAAAAATTATACATATATATTTAAAATTAAAAAAAATTTATAATATAAATAATGATGATCAAATACCTAGTGCTGCGGTTGCAGATTTAGTGAGATACCACAGATACAGATCGGATATACTCATATGTACATAAAAATGAAATATTTATAGGGAAAACTGTTTAATGAATATTAATTAAAATAAAAAAAAAAAATAAACCCTCACTCAAGTACTCAATAATGAATTCCAAGCAAATAAGTGCACACTTTAGTCAGCTCTTATAGAAATGAAATTATTGTAAATAGACAAGGGCAAAATGGTGTGAAAAATAATATATCTTTACTCGTACATAAGCTCAAATATCTTAAGTATATAAGAAATCATTATTGTATAAGTCAAGCAAACCACACTATTGACACATAATATATTATTTTGTGAAGTGCATAGGAGGAAATGCTATAAGAAATACTCAATATTAAAAATTCATTTCAACAAAATAATTAGCAAGCAAGTAAGAATGCAATGAAAGACAATGAAATTGAACGAATTTTTTTCCATAATCAAGAAAATTAGTATATATTTGTTTTCAGATATATTACTAGAAAGGCTAAATTATAAGTTGCACTTGATTTTTTTAAAAAGTGCAAGGTTAGTTTTGCTAGATAATTAGCCGTAGTGATTGCATTCTACGAGTTGCATGCGTCGTCAGTGCGTAAGAGAATGTAGAACGCATAAACTAATTGTGTCAAAGTCACTGCCATATATTTGTACTGTTAAAGCATAAATAAAATTAAGGCAGTTAGCTTTTTATTTTTACTATCCAGTACACAACATTATTGGAAGGTTGCACATACATAGTATGTAAGCTCAATACATATGTAAAGCCTAACTAATATTTAAATAAGATTAACAGTTCAATTTTCTATTGACTACGACTAGTAAACTTAGCTACTCATTTCATATATATTTACTATAAAATTAATTGAAAGCATTTTTGTAAACACATCTAAATGGCGTATGATTAAATATTAGTTCGAGAGAAAAAAATTCAATAGAAATTATTGACAAAATTATAGAACAATTTATAAATAATGATAATTATTAATTATACTTATTTTTTTAATTAAGTAATTTTTTCGTCTTAAGCATATTATCTTTATATATATTGTATATATTTTGGAGTACGTCACCATACATCTGCACACTTTAAATTAGTTTCGTATGCATGCTCTTCATCTTTTCATCTTGTATCTAAATATTTTGACTATCATATTTTTTTCTTATAAAGAAGTTTTTCAAACAGTAGTGAACTACAACAACAAAAATTCATTTTATATTATTTTAATTAATTGAATTTTTTTTTCTTATAAAATTCTTTGCGTTACTTTTTCTAACTGACGAGTTTCAAATATTTTTTGCGTTAAAATTTGTTTATCGCTAAATCATACGTAGGCGTACGAGATGCATTTTTAAGCAATAACATATAAAACACTTTTATGTACTATACACATCATTATATTTTACATACTTATCAATGAAGTAGTTTAAGCAGTCCTAAATGAAAGAGTCAAATTTATAAAGCCACATTTTACTTCACTTCACTTTTCTCCATCAACATCGTCAGAATTCTCATTCACTCAGAATTCATGTTGAATATGAATTGAATAAAATGTGTATCGGAACATATTACTTAATCAATTTAATCAATTTAAATTTTGTAATTTTTCAATTACTTCATAATTCCAGACTAACTGCTTTTTTATTTTTAGTAATTAAAGCGGCGTTTTTTTATTTGCAAAAATAAAAGCGTTTAAATAGTCATTACGGAGCAGCAATTCAATTTAGAGTCTAAATAATTATAGACGACTATTTACAAGTCGTACATAACGAACAATCGCTATCCAGTTGCTTTCATAGTCTATACAAAAGTAATAAAAAGATTTTATTTTTTATTTTTCTCATTTTCATTTTCATTATATAATTTTAAAAACAACTGAAAAAGCAGTTTGTGCAAAATAATGGATAGTCATCCGTTCATAAAAAATAGATCTTAAATATGATAAAATACTTTAGTATAGTGTACGGAGCACTACAGATAATACAGTATTTTATTCAATGTATGGACCTATATTCAATAAAACAGTCGATCATTCTTAATTTTATAAGCTTCCACAACCGAATTTTGTTTTTGATTTGTTTATGTGGACATTTTTTAGTGCAGTTAGCTAGCACTTTTTCCTTCTAATGACTTTTCTTCCATGTTATATTTCATATCAAATGTTAAATTTTTTTCTTTTTTTTATTTCATATTTAACGTCTTATAATGATAATTGCAGTCTAGTCTAGGCTAATAAAAATTAAGTACAGCTAATTTTTTTTTTCAATTCTCATTAATAAATAACTTATTTCTTGTGTTGAGTAAATAAATTTTAATTTTTGTTTTTGTTTTTTATAATTAACTAACACAAAAGTTATATTTAACTAAAAATAATAAAATTATAAAACTGGATCATTGGACTGAAAAAAACAATCAACAACAAAAATTATAAATAAAAATTCTATTCTTCGACGGAATACAAATACAATAAAGGTGGCAACAACAGAAAAATATAAAACATAAGGCAATTAAATTATTTTGTGATTTTGTGATTTTGTTGTCAAAAAACAAATTTCTATTTCATTTTTTATAATTTTAAAAAATTCTAGAGCAATTGGCGCGTTTAAATTGTTTATTTTATTTTACTGGCCGGTCAGCCGATCAGCCGGTGTCAGTTGTTGCAACAAAAACGAGAAAAAACTGTATGAATTGCACAGAAAGTATATTATGAAATGTGTTAATATTATTAAATAATTTCCATTTTAATAAATTGAAAATAAAACCTTTTCGTAAGACTCGTGTTTGCTAAAAAAAGAATACAAAAACGAGAAAATATATATATAAATATATATATATATATGTATATGTGTGCAATGTATCTGATGACAAACCACAGAACTTGTGGTTACTATTTTTAAGAGTTTGTGCGGTATTTTGTTGACTTCTGCTCATCCATGTCAACGTCGCGCTGTTATCAACACGAATATGATGTATCTATGCAAAAAATATGAAAATTGAAAAATTATTAACTTATAGTTTTTTCTAGTCTTAATTTGGTTTTATTTTTACTTTTTTTATTTTTTATTCTTTCAATTT